TGGCCTCCAACCTAGTATAGCGATGGCGTCCAACCTCATAGCGATGGCATCATAGACTCCAGCCTGTTAGTGATGGCCTCCAGCCTAGTATAGCGATGGCCTCCAACCACATACTGTAGCGATGGCATCATAGCATCCAGCCTAATAGCGCTGGCCTCCAACCTAGTATAGCGATGGCCTCCAACCTCATAGCGATGGCATCCAGCCTAATAGCGCTGGCCTCCAACCTAGTATAGCGATGGCCTCCAACCTCATAGCGATGGCATCATAGCCTCCAGCCTGATAGGGATGGCCTCCAACCTCATAGCGATGGCATCATAGCCTCCAGCCTAATAGCGCTGGCCTCCAACCTAGTATAGCGATGGCCTCCAATGTCATGGCGATGGCATCATAGCCTCCAGCCTAATAGCGCTAGCCTCCGACCTAGTATAGCGACGGCCTCCAACCTCTTAGCGATGGCATCATAGCCTCCAGCCCAATAGCGCCGGCCTGCAACCTGGGCCTAGTATAGCGATGGCCTCACTACTGACCTCTCTCCCTACTCAGATCGGGATGCGATCGTCCCAGGATGCGAGTGTTATGCAATGCACGTGCCAGCGCCAATGCTGCGCAGAATGAGGGCTGGGCGCCTTTGCACATCGCCAGCCGCCATGGTCACGCAGCTTGGTCAGCTGGGAGCGCTCAACGGCCAGGGGCCTGTCTCCCTAGGCCAGGAGAAGTTTTCGTGTGTTTCATGGGTGAAATGCGTAAGATCCCTTCCCGTGGCTTCAAACTGGCCCTGTTGGTATGCCAGTTTGGCGCAAGCACCCGGTGGTTGGCACTCCACAGGGAAGCCAGCCATGGCTATGCTCCCGTTTCACCCTGACCAGGTGTGTTTGGGGCTGCCAGGGTGTGTCCTAGGCGTTGTCACTTAAGGTAAGATCTCTTTATTCAATGATTTTCAGTGAGTCAACCTGGATCACTGCGAGACTGGCATGAACTTGACCCAACCTGACCCACCCTGAAGCTTAGGCCCATGTGGTGCAGTTTCTGTTGGAAGAGGCTCGCGTCGATGCCGATGTTCGTGTGGACGCCGGCTGGACTGCCAGCAACATTGCGCTCTGGGCAGACCATACCGCAGTCCTAGACATCTTGGAGCAGTATGCCCCACGGTCCCTCTGGCAAAGCTGGACGGGTTTCTGGAGGCATTTGTTTCGGACGTGCCGTCGAAGAGCGAAACAAGGCCGGGCAGTGGGGTAGGGTGGGACCGAACCTGTTGAAGCACCTCCTTGGTGATCTTGTGCATAGGGCACAGGTGATCATGTGTTATTCATGATCAGCGGTGAAATGACTTTCCATATATTGGATATATTTTATCACCTTGGCAGCTTTAAAAAAGCTCTTGACTCATGACACATCATGAAAGCTCAGAAATGGCGACAGACACCACCTATGGCAAGCCTTCCACCTCTCTTTGAAACTCGTTGGGTTGCAGGGTTTTCACTGGCTGCGCAAATCCGTCGCAGGGTTCAGGTTCAAGTTACCGAAATGGGCCACTCGACATTTCTGAACAACATGCCCCAAAAAAGGTGAGCCGTGAACAAGCTCAATGAATCCGAAGCACGGGGTCTAGTTTGGCCTATACAGTCTGGTCGGATGGATCATGAGGAATCTTCAACTTCTTGGAGTTGGTCGTGAGACATCCTTCAAATTCCTTTTCATGCTATGAAGCGCCACCCTTCATCCGCACTGGATCCCAGCTGGGGTCTGTGAAGCACTGTCATAGAACGCAACAAAATCCGCTAGAACACGCTTGGAACACTGAGAAGATCGTTGCACCGATGGCCGACCTGCGACCTGGGCCATTGATGGCCGTAAGAAGGCCAGCGAGGCCATGGTTTCGCTTCCGACCGGTTTTCGCCCGTGAAGCCTTCACTGGTGGCACGAAGCACTGAACTTGCAGATCTCTTGGAATGTGATCTTCACCTGGAAGTTCAGAACTGTGATTAAGGGAAGACCATCATCTTAAGTTCAGAACTGTGACACCACCTCTTTGTGGCACTCTAAAATGGACAGGTGGCTTTGAACCATGCCGGGGCATGCGCATCGAGGCTCGGTTGCGCCACTTCCGGGATGTTTTTTGGTGCTCCGAGAGAGTTTTGGGGTCTCTCTCGGAGTGGTCGTTGTTTGGCAAGAACGTCGTGTGGCTCCCACAAGAGAAAAAAAGAGGGACTTGACTCAGGACTGCAGATTCGAATCTAGCAACTCTCAGTCACAGGGGGCCCGAGTAGGATTCCCACCGACTGTTCGACGGTCGTGCGAGCGCACAGGCAGTTGCACGGCTAAGTGCCAATGAGTTGGTGGAGTTGGCCCGTACTCGTGCCTCAGCTCCAACGGTTCTTTGCTCCGAACTCCGTGATGGGCAGGTTGATTGTGACATATTTGGACTTTGACCCCCGGGAGGATTATCATGTCCATGTTAGATGGGAGTACCTTTCATCACTCATGTCACGTGTAGCCTTTGCGAAGCTCACATTCTCGACGTACAATGGCCTTTGACGACAGTTTCCTTTTGCGGCCCCAGTCTGGATGGCCGAGGTGCCTACCTCACAAGCTACAGGAAGGTGCCTGCAGCACCTAAACTGGCCAATGCACTGCAAGGTGATGGGTCAGTGGCAGTGGAAAGTCACGAAAGCTCGTTCAAGCCGGGGGGATGCCTGAGAACAACAGATTCAGCCACCGATACTGATCAGACAAGCTTAAGCTGTCCCTTGCGGTTGAGTCAGCGTTGATGATGCAGTGACAAGTCACCAGAGGTGACTCGGGCATAACGTTAACTAGGTGATGGTTTCGGATATTTCTATTCTCAACTCTTACTTGGGATGATTGGACCCTCTGACTCATATCTTTCAAGTGGGTTGAACACACCAACCAGTTAAGTTTGCAGTTTGCTGTTACGGTTCGTGAAGCATCGGTGCCACATGGTGCCACATTTGTGCAACCGATTGCTTTAGCTCCTAGCCTTCGTCGTTCACCCGCGCTGTTTGACCTGTACTGCAGTTTTGCAGCCTTTCCTCAGTTAAATATGGAACCCGCAGGCCTTCAAACCATTGGCATCCATTTGTGCAAAGGGTTTACGAAAGCACGATAAAGCATGTATGGCATCAATGCCTTGTGACACAGTATAGCGAACATGTTTCCGCTTCAGGCGAGCTTGAGGTGAGGCACTTGAGCTTGCAACAGGCGGGCCCGGGGCTGGAGGACGTTTCCATTGGTTCCTGAAAGCAGTTGGATGTGCACGAACAAGCGGAATCAAGCCTTTGAACACTCGGCTGTATCAGGAAACCAGTCAGCCGCGTTTCGTGCTTGTTGCTGCTGTTGCTGTAGTGGTGGCAGTGGTCGTCGTCCGCCGTCATTAGCATTGAGTTGGGCACGCCAGCCATGGATACAAGGAGCCAAAATAAATTTCTTAAAGAAAACCAAAGACCCAAAAAACAAACAAACGGTAAAGCAAACCAAAAAGCAAACATGTAGCTGTGCGTGTTTGTCGTTTTTTGTCCTTATTTATGTTCGGATTGTTTTCGCTTTATTTTCGCATTAAGTGCAGAAGTGGTACGTTTCTTGTTTTATTTTTTTGCGCTTATGTCTCTCACAAAAACAGTTACGGTTGGTCATGTATGGCTGCCATTGCTCAACACAACATTAGCATGGTTCTCATCATGTTGTCAAAGGACGTGTGATTGAGTGGCATCAGGGGTGTTCAGAAGTGCCACATGGGACGCTCACCATCCCTTTTTCCTCTTTTTGCCGGTTTCCAGCCACCAAGCTCGACCCGCCCCAGGCGACCAGCTTGTTGCATGCTTCCTTGCAGCTGGTGCCGGACGCTGCACGCAGAGACTGGCAAGGGTCAAAGAGACCTGGAACAGTTGGAGTTCTCACCCTATGGACTCATAGAGCCCTGCACACTCCCCATCGGCCACCGGACCCTCACCAGTACGAACGGACCGGATGGACTCGCCATGCCGTCACTGGGAAGTTCGAGCCATTCCATGTGGATGTTCGATCCAAGGATGCTTCAAGACCTGGCAGAGGAGACGGTGAAGGGCCAGGCCCTCCGGAACGATGTCTCACGCTCCTCGTTCCCCGTTGGACGAAGGTCCCCATTGATGTGCCACAGCCAATGGTCTTTGGCTTGCTGTCATGGAGTGAGCCCATGAACTTTGTAGAGCTCCAGTTCTTTTTGCCTCGCCCATCGGACCCATCGCTCTCCAGGATGCAGCAGCAGCAGCTGCTCTCCTCCAAAGTCATGCTTTGATCTACGGGAATAAGGAGGCGTCCGACGGCATGGGTTCGGCGAGTTCACCCATGGGGTACCAAGGTACCCATGCCATGGCCCCTGGTGAATCCACATTGAAGGGCGAAAGAAAAGAGATTTGGTTGTAGAGAACGCATTACACTGTAAGAACTGATGAATTGCTGAGCCAAGAGGCCTCCTGACCTTCTTGCTGTCTCAAGCTACTCACCGAATTGCACCAGCTTCGCACGTTTCATGCTGCCAACTGACCCCAAGCCCCGCGCGAGGCCTCCAAGTCGCCCCTGCCAGTGCAAAGCTTGTGCCTCCGACTGGCGCCCTTGGCCTTCCGAGGCCCGATCCGGAGAGCCGTTTGGGACTTTTTTCGGCCCCCACCTGGTACAGGGAAGAAGTTCGGCTTTCTGCGTGGCCCTGACTCGTGCTTCTCGTCCTTCTTTTTGGGCCTTCAAGCGCGGGGGGGCCTTCGGGCCTTCATCTTCCCTCGACCGGTCGACGGCGGTCCGACAGACCAACCCCACCGACCTTCAGTTTCGGTCCGGCCGGGGTGAGGCGAATCCATGCCAGACGTGCCCCTCAAAGCCTTGGAGACCTTGGAGGTCACCTTGCCCCAATCTCTACAGCAGGCGTTGGCGCGACGCGCAAAGGGCGGGAGCGAGGTGACGGTGGGGTGGCGGACTCCTCTTTTTTTTCTCACCGATTCGCGCGAAGTCCGCTATAGGTGTCCCTTTCTTAAGGTGAGGGGTGAACACCAAATCGTTCCTTTTACAGAAACGTCTGAACATGTGGCAGCATCATGCAGCATCTACTTAAGGTGTGGCGATGTCCACTTACCACCACAATTCAGTTACCTCTGCCAGCCCTGCCAGCTTGCACTGCCTGAGGTGGCGGTTCATCACGTCCAGCAAAGCATCAAGGCTGCGGGACCTGGCTTTGGGCAAGCGCTGGCCATGCTGTGGCAGCAAGGAGTTGTCATGGAGCCATTGTTTCGGCGGATGCCTGGCTCACTTCAGCACGTTGTTCGGCGAGACAACGGATAGTGTGAGTGTAGTGTAGGCTAAGACTGACTGAGACACCCAGGGCTGCGCAGCAAAGTGCGCCGGAAGAGGCTGCAAGCCCAGAAAACGGACGTGGAAGGTTCATGACGATTCTAGTGACTAGTGGTGTTTTGAGGGTCGAGTATTGGAGCCAACTTTAGATCTTCTTTGGACACCAACTGGTGATGCAATGCAGTCACGGTGCAGGCCATGTGTGGAAACAGCACCGTCACCATGTTTGAACTAGCTTCCAGCACTGTCAGGGTGTGGCACATCACCATCACCGCGCCGTCCTACGCCTTCACATGGCTCCTTTCTTTTTTTCGTGGGTGTTGGCACGTATACATTATACAGATGAAAATATATGAACATCATGAAAACCATCCGGAGGGCAAGCGAGAATTCGTCGTCCACATCCACAGAAGCCCAAAGGTTTGAGGCCAAGTCACTTTTTCAGAGAACTTGTTGGAAAAGCCTCGCTAGGGCGTTCACAAAAGAACCCACATCACTGGAGCGGAGGATTGCGGCACACTTGGTCCCACTGATCTTCTGGTGGCGCCACTCCGTGCAGATGGAGAAGGCAGAGGCCTCTCTCAGCAGGTGCCAGTTGGATGAAACGTTCGGGAAACTGGGCGGTCACCGGAAATTGAGATTTCACAACTTCTTGACTGGTAGTACAACGGGTCGTAGATGCAAGCAGTTTAGTAGCCAGCATTTGGGTTCGGTTGCTTAGCCCCCTGTTCGGGCCATGAAGTTTAAAGAAACCACTGCTCACTTCAGGGTTCCTTTCTTCTGCTCCTTTTCCATCTTCACCCAACTGCTCTCAGTTCGATGCGGAGCTTGATGTTCACCCAGATCGTCGAGAACCGTGCGGTTTGGGACGTGGGCCTGGTCCAAGAAGTGCAGAAGAAGATCGACCAGGAGCCCCCTGGCAGTCGACACCGAGGTGCTGCTGGTGTTCTGGGGGGTGTCTGGAGTTTCTTTTAAAGGAAGGACGTGGAGAAAACATGTGAACGTACAGGCTTTCAGTTGGGGCGTGCTTGTAACTTTAACACTATAGTTCAGTACTATATAGTTCAAGGCTGCGGACGTACATTGGCGAACTCACGCCCGGCTGCCGCCCTTTTTGGCTCGGAGATGTGTTGGACGAGTGTTGGCTCGGCCAAAGCGGCGGGTCCAAGCAGTCCACGGTGACAAACATGTGGAAGGCGGTAGAGCTTTTGTGCTGCTACCGGCCCAGAACCAATTGGACCGAGGCCCGTCATCGTGGCATGGCGACGCCTGCCGGGAACGACAACCCCGACAGCTTTGTCTTTGGCATCGCCACGAACGACGAAGCTTTGGAGATCTTCGTGCGGGTCATCGGTGCAAATCTTCCAGAAAGTGCAGGCAACCCGGACCTCTATGTCTTGGTCTACCTCGAAGCCGAGGGCAAAGGCAAAGAACTCCTAGGACGGTCAACCACGATTTGGCGTAGCAACACTCCCAGTTGGCATTTTGCTTGCCCAGCAACACAAGTCTTTGGTGATTCTGGTGTCCTTCACTTCCAAGTGATGTGTGAAAGCTTAGGTGGCTGGGGCGAGTCGTGGTGCTTTGGCGCCACATCAGCCTCCCTCCAGTCACTTCGCAAAGTGAGGAAGTGTCAGCTGACCTTGAAGGATGCCAAAGAGTTCAAAGATTTCAAAGGAGCTCTCAATGTAGAGGTTCTCGTCACAGAGCCCCTGGCCAAGAGGGCCAGCGCCGAGAGCCATCTGCGCAAGGACTCGAACAACTCCATGATCCTAAGTCAAGCTTCGACCACACCTCAGACCGGGGCGTCTGACCCAGTTCAAGACACCAATGAGACCCGGTCCACCGCTTCTGAGAGTGAAGGGGAGAGCAGGGAGCCCGGCAGTTCAGTGGCCACTGCCATGCTGAAGCATTGGCGACAGTCCCAAAACTTCAATCATGCCAAGATGGCTCAGGAGTTCGCCAACCGCTTGCAGCTGAATGCCAAGAAGCCCGAGGGGAAGTTCTATGCCAAGGTCAAGGACCGCTTTTTTGCAGTGATTGGGCAGGAAGCCTTTCTGGGAGGCCTCCTCCGGAAGGAGAGCACCCTGGCAGCTGCCAGTTTAGAGCTGGCGTGGTTTGAGAGTAAGGCGGCCTATACCGAACACCATGCGCCCATTGGCTCTATCCCCCTGCGTGATGTGCAGAGCTGCTCTCGATCAAGTGAGGATGCCAAGACTTCTAGGGTGGTGGTCCAGACGAATGGAGGGCCTCAGCTAGAGGTCATTTGTGAGAACGAAGTGGCAGAACGATGGGCCCGTGACTTGGAGCATCTAGTGGCCATGGTGAAACAATGAATCAGAGCAATGAACATGAGGATGCAGATGGCCAGATGGCTTCTCTTGGTGCGCGCCAGCGCGCGTCCGGTGCGAGTGCCTTGCACATTTTGCATTGCACTGACATATGAAGCCGGAGCCTTGTCATGCCGTCATGCGGCTAAGCCTCTTGCAGGGTATGACCGGAGAAACTTAGGTTTCTCGAGTAGTCTGTCTCGATTACTTTCTTTGGCTTCGAGTAACTTTTCAACACTGAGTTCCCGCGTAAACTTTTGCTCGCTCTCAGTGGGGCAGCATGCGAAAATGGTCCGTGCACCAGCTGTGAAGCTGAAGTTGGCCCTCGCACCACAAGCGCTTTAAAAGTTGTCCATGGGCTTGTCATGCTTCAAACTGGCTCAGGTTCGCGCAGGGTCTTCAAGCAGAAGAACTCGAGAGGCGCCTGATCATTGTGAGTCAGCCTTGTCTTTTGAACCATCGCAGGGGGAGTACAGTGCACTGTGCTTCCCGAAGCGCCCTTTTTTTGGTCTGCCATATGGCCCAACTCCTTTTCACCTTTTTCTTTCCCGTTTTTCCAGGTCTTGGCTGAAGTGAGGATGTCAAATCATTCCCCTGGTCCCCACCGAGCAAAAGACGACAGAAGTAGCGGTCCCAGCGTGCTCTTTCTGGTCGGCTGGGCAAGCAGGATGCTGCGTATGATGCTCTTCCTGGCCAATTTGCGGGTCGTCCGACCTCCGATGTGGCCGCCTGGCCAGCACATCATGGGATGAGCGACGAGCGTCGTCCATTCCATCATGAACGATTCGAGTTCATCGTCGGTGGATTTGGATGGATAGGCGCGTCAAACACTTCTCACAGATGACTCTCTACTTTTCTGGCGGAAGGGATAGTAATCTCAAAGGCACAAGTCCTATGAACATGATAGAAGTAACTCAGCACCAATCTTGCTGTTCTTCTTAAGACGAACGCGTCTCCCCTCCAATCCTCCCAGGCGAAGCTTCATGTCGTCTCTTATGAACTCGATGAGGCACATGCCGAAGCTGAAGGCACGGGACTGGTGACACAAGCAAAGCTTTGGAACACAGACCAGCTAGGAGATGCAACCTGGATCACCCAGAGGTTGAAACGGGATACAGCCCTCGTTGTTTTCTCCATTTGGGTGAGCGCAAGAGCAGTTCAACACTAAGAGTTATCTATATAAGAGGTTCAACACCCGTGCCCAGCTGATGGACTGATCGACATGTTCTTGATATGGTCAGGTACAGCTCTCCGGCTTGCCAAGCCTAATCCTTCTCCTCGACCTCACTAGGTGGGCATTGGTCTGTTGATTATGACGCGAGAGTATGGGATGGGGGTCACTGGGTCATCCCACAGGATGACCCAGTGACCCCCGGCGAAAGCGGGAGAGGACCGTAAGAAAGTGTTCAGATGAATTCGTCCCAGTGGCTTTTGGCAATGTTTCCCTAGCTGAGCAAATTGCCCCTTAAACAGCCCAGCGGGCAGGAACAGCCTCATTTGATCCACTTCAATGTAAATGAGTGAAGATCTGGTCGGTTGCGACAGGACATGTTGCAAGACTTGGCAGATCATTGCATGCGTGGCGCATGGAAAAAAGAAAACAGTAGAAAACAGGTCTAAGGTGTTTTCACATCATTTGTCCATTGGCATCCAGAGTTCAGCTTCACATCGCTACGCTTCACGTCGCTCCGCGTCAGGCGAACGCCCTTCCCTGCGCTGGTGCCCAAGGATTTGCTGCACGAAGTCGCGGTGTGTGCAGGAGAACGCGACCTGCCCGGAGGGAGGTGACACGGAACACTTGGAGTGTTTAGATGATAATGACTGTTTGCTCATTTTAGCCGATCTTGTTGCTTTGTTGTTCATGGCTTTTGTGTGGGTTTTGCTTTGTTTGGGCGCCTTGTAGCAGCCATGACCGTCCAAATCCAAACAACCTAATTAGTGCATCCACCAAGAAACACATCCAACCACATTTTGCAAGAAGCACATTCAATAAAATTCAACTCATCCCAACGATCCAAACTTCAGAGATTCAACAACTTCTATTTGCTTTTCGATATTTGTTTTTCGAGTTGGACAGTCTTGGCTACTGTTACAAGGAACTCAAGCAAGGCAAACCCGATACAAAACGAGAAGCACAACCAATCTGGTACTGCAAGGCTCTGGTGGTAATCTAGATCCCTACTCAGTTCGCTCCGTCAGTCGTTCTCGAAGCGAAGGGGCGGCCGCTTTGTTTAGGGTGGTCCACTTCCGTCGACTTCCGCCAGAGCTCAGGAAAGTCAGATGGTGTGGGTCAAATTGGGTGTGCCCCACTACGTGTAACAGTCGGTAAAGGTTATCATCAATTAGCACTATTTTTGAGGAAGGCCTTTATTCATCATCATCATCATCATCATCATCCACTGTTACAGTGATATACCCAAGGGTCAACTGCCCAGGCACCCCATTGTCCACCATTGAGGTCGAGGTTCACCATCGTTCACCCGGGTCTATGTTCCAAGCGAAAGCCTAGGACATGGTTTCGCGAAGATCATCCAACACAAAGGGCCCGGGCAGGTTGTTTTTGTTTTTTTGCTTTTCCCGGGTTGATCCTTTTTGGGATGCGCGATGTTTATGGACTTGGAACCTGGCAAATGCAACACCGAACGGCTTTTTGGGCTCGGAATTCGACGAAGACCGGTACCTTTAAGCACAAACCGCGCTTCGTCGTCTTCGACCCGACCGCCTGGAGACGTCGAGATGTTCCGAAGGACCTGCCATCTCCAGTGCAACACCTGAAGAGCTCGCAAAGTTGCTGTGACTTGTCGAAATGACTGGCATGTCTAGGTTTCGATGGCCTCCAACCTACAGGCGTTTGTAAGCACCACATTCCCTTCTCGAACGCCGAACGCAGCGCCTGCCGGCGCATTCGGCCGTGCCGCGTGCCGAGGGCCGGTTTCCAGCGAACGAGCCCAGCGATCTTTGAAGAGGCACGCCGTGTCTGTGCCAACAGAAACACCGAAAAGGCGATCTTTGAGCAATTCATCTATAATATATATTGTGAGACACAGGGTGGTAGGGGCCTAAGCAAGTGCTACCATGGCAGCGAACGATCGGTTTTCGTCACCTCAGGCTTGAGCCACCATCCGGTGGAAGGTCGTTAACGAAGTGTGCCCCTTTTGGGCTTCCGTGGGTGACGACCAAGCTCAACGAAATCACACACAACCAACTTTCTTTTGGTCGTCATCTCTGGAACGTTCAATCAGCTTACGCTGCAACGCCACTCCTTCTTCCAAAATTGACCAGAGCCCCGTCGACATAATGTGACGGAGGTATGTCGGTACGCAATCCTTCGTAAGACTGTCAGAAAGCATGGCTCGAGTATCGATCCATCGGATAATCCCTCCTTGGGATCGAAATTCATCCCGAAGAACAGCAACATCGATAGCGACTCGTTTGTCGCTGAACTGTGCTGATGTGCATGCGTCCTTCTTTAGGGCATCGTATAAAGATTTGCTATCCGTGACAGTTATAAAAGGGAGGGCCTTCAGGTGTTCCTCCCAAGACGAGTCAGTCAAAATCCCACTCAAAACTTCCAAAAGGAGCAGCTTATGCCAATTGATGGCACCTACCCCATTCACAAGAGCTTGGCTCTCGGCTCCTAGTGTACTGACTACCTTTCTCTTCAAACGGTAGCTGCGCCATGCTGCCAAAGTCACCGGAGTTGGTTGCTGTGACGATGTAAGGCGCTCATCATAGTACACTACAAACTGACCTCCCTGACTATTCAAACATTCTCGTTGCTCGACTAGAGGTCGAATCAAAGAACTGGGGATTTTGTCTTTCTTGTGCAAAGCTTTCTGAAAAACAGTTTTTCCAGTCCAAGATTCATTGGCCTCACGGAGACTTTGAGGATCGTTCCAAGAGTCCGTTTCTGTGAAGCAACCGTGCGATGTCAGTCTCTCGGTACGGCGTGAGGCTTGAAGAACATGTGGGCTAGGACCATCAGTGCAAAAATCAGGGTGAAAATATGTTTTCCTCGGAACTCTGTGGTGCCTCACCCAAGTATCTTCACACTCTTCCCAAAAATCTTCCCTGAGCGAATCCTCGAGCCCCAGGCTGGACTCCCTGGCGTTGCCCCAGGAGGCGTCTGTCGCCACTCCAATTCTCAAAGAGTGAAGTGGAATAGGTTGAACCAAAATTCCCAACTGTTTGTGAGCGATTGCCTCTTGCGCTAGCTTGTTTGCTTGTTCAAGATCTTTCACTCTTGGTGTTGGAAACGATTGTTGCAACAGTGAGACTCTTCCAGCTAGGTCACCTCGGGTCTCCTTACTCAACCAGGCCAAGACACCCAGGAGCTCACGAAGTTGAGCAATCTCCTGGGCCGTGCAACGGTCAAAGCGCTGCATTTTCCGTTTCCGGTCGATGGGGATGCACTTCACCTTGTCATCCACATAATGTGTTTGGGTGATGGAAATGGTTCCGTCGGGTCTAGCTTGAATCTCCTTTCCCGTGAAGCGGCCCGAAGTGGTCTGGTTCTTTCCCAACTTGTATGCAGTTGCAATCTTGTTGATGTTGTCCCAGTGTTTGTCTGTTCCCCCATGAAAAACATCATCTGTAGCAATGCCCAAAATACCACAAAGCTTTCCCGAAGATGGTTTTGAACCGGCGGTCGACGTTGAAGTGTCAGCTTCAAACAGATAAAACACACATGGGTCCAGTTTTGATTGTTGGTACCCCAATTTCTTCAAATATCGACACAGATGTTCAAACCACTTGTGAGGCCCATCAGTGAGCCCATAGCAATGCTTCAAGAGTTGGATCAACTGCCGGGGATCTGCGCCTGGTATGCCTTCTTTAGGCTGCCGGGCATACAACTCACGATTGATCCTGTCTCCGGAGTGAAATGCCTGGGTAAAATCGATGAATCCGGGATTCCAACTCAAGCTGCTCAAAATTTGGGCGATCAGAATCACTGAGTCTCTTGTCACCTGTGGTGTGGTGGTCTCCACGTCCAGTGCCGAGGGTTCGGAGAAACCTTGCATGACGTGTCTGCACTTTGCTTTGACTGGACCATGTTCTTTGTCATCTAAAAGGATGTCTTCCACTCGGGCTTGCGGAATGTCACCCTCTTCAAGAGGCTTCTTGGATAAAACATAGCGGCTGCCCATAATCTTCTCAGGTTTTTCTGCTGCAATGTTTTGTGAAGTTTCCACGTCCAGGAGTCGGTATGCTCCTGATGCTAAGTTCTGGTTGATTTCCTTCGAGATGGACTTCTGTAGACGGGGAAAATCAGCACCCTTGAAATCCTTGGCAACAAATTCCTTTCTTTTCTTCATAAGGCCAGAAACAGCAAGATGAAACAGTTCCAAAAATTCCGTTCGTTGTCGCTTGTCCGGAGGTTGTGAATCCTCCAGGTCATCAGAAACAAAATCATCCGCCGGTCGTTTGTCATGTCTCACGTCTTCATGTTCATCCGAAATCTCCATCGGCTCCGCAATTGGCACTGCTGGAACCGGTTCCGACCCGATCTCAACGGGGTTCGGAGTTGGCTCTAGGTCCGGGAGAACGTCAGGTTCAGGAACTGGTTGAACGGGTTCACGAGGGACATAGTCAGAAGTCTTTTGTTTCACTCTCCTAGCTGGTTCCGGAAAAAGTCCTGGAGGGAAAGGAAATTCTGGTGGAGGACGAGGTTCCTCTTCCGGTGGTTCTATTGTAGGTGGAATTTCTATCTCCGGATCTTCACCGAGTTCAGCTGTGGTCGGTGGTGGTTCGGTCTGTAAGTCTATGATCCCCTTGTTCTGTGGCTGTCGAAGTTGTTCTCGTAGAGTGGTCAGACCCTCGAGCCATTGAGACAATGTCTGAGTCTCTTCTTCACTAGCTGGCCGAATGCGCTCTGGTGATGCTTTAACAATGTTGTTCCGGAACGACAGCCAAATTGTGTTAGGCATATCAACCAAAAGAACTCGAGCTGGGCCTCTCCAGTAGAATTCTAGTGGTTTCTTCTGGGTGTCAGCTCCTCTACGGAAAAAGTACACCACCTGTCCGGGCTCGTAGTGTCGCCACGGTCGAGGCCCTGCATAGATTGCTCTCTGGAGCGACTGCTGGCAGTCCGAGTCGAAAAATGCTTTAGATGTAGCCTTTCGTAGCTCCATGCTTCTGACGACGGCCAAATCACTGGGCTTCTGTAACTCCAGATTCTGAAGGTTTGGTTCCCGTCCAGCCATGAGTTCTCCGGGTAACCGTGGTGTATACCCCAAAACACGCTGAATGGGAGAGTAGCCCCCACGAAGCAAGAGTCTATTGCGTACCATACAAGTGGTGTCCACGGCGTCTTTCCAAGCTTCATCCGTTTCGCAGGAAACGGTGTTCATCGTTTTGTACAAAATGTTCTTGTAAGTTTGTCCAGCCCGTTCTACCAAGCCACGTTGTTGCGGACTTTCTAGGGATGATGGAACAAATTCTGATCCATCTTCTTCCAACATTTGCACAAACACTGATTTGAATTCTCCACCTAGGTCACCATATACACGAGTTGGTACACCAAACAGCTTGACCCACTGACGGTATGCTGTGCGAGCGGCTTTCGCAGTGCTGGATCCCATGGGGACCACAAGTTGAAAGTGCGAGGCATAGTCGATCATGTTCAGCGCTGGAACTGTTCTATGATGGTGATCGCGAAGATGAATGGTGTCAACTCCAATCAGTTGATTAAAGTGAAGGTTTTCCCGAGGAGGCGCGCTGTTCCGTTTGGTTGATGGAGTTTGAAACTGGTGGCAAACAGAACACTTCAATCTCTTGGCACATTCCAAAACCTCTGGTTTTGCTCCACTTGCTTTCAGAATGCGAACGAAACGATTCGTTTCCGGATGTCCTAGTCCTTCGTGGGCCCTTCGGACAAGGCGCTCCAAAGTCACGACGCGAGCTCCAGGAAGCTCTCGAGACTTCTGCCAAGCAAAAACAGTGACAATGTCCTTAGTGTCCTCAAGTTCCAATTCCAGGTTCTCAGGGTCCAGTTCAGTCATCGCGTCCATCTTGATCAGCTGTTTGGTTGAAAGGTCGAAAGTGAATCGCCGTTCGATCACCGGGGTCGCTGGACCGTCACCACCTGGTAGCTGGAGCTTGGAGGACTGTAGATCGGTCCTAGTCCAGAACTGCCACTGTCCTGCTGGAAGGTGGTCCTGACACAGTTGGGTGAATTCGTTGGCCCTTACTCCAAGAGCAGGAGCTACTGGTAGGTCAGGTAGATCTCTCATAGCCGGTGGTTCATCAGCGGCAAGGATCTGGTACCGCTCCTCCTCAGTGAAGTAGTTTTGGCTTATGCGATCATCCTCTTGGATGACATCAGCAGCAACTTGGAAGTGAATGTCGCGCATAGCCAAGTGGCAGGAAGCCGCATAGGCTCGAAGCACTCGGTCGACCAGGCCCTGTGGGTATTCTTGAGCTTGTCGAGATCGAGGTCCTCGAGAATCACTACCAAGTACTTCTTCATGGATGTGCGATCCATCACATTTCACTTCTAGAGCCTTGAGGACGGTCGGGTTGTTCCCCAGGAAGCTCGTTGGTTTCTTCACGGCATGGCCGGACGTGATGAAGCGCAAGCCCATCATACATTGGTCGCCATGGACAAGTTCAATATCGGGATCACGTAATAGTTGTCGGATAGGCTGTTCAAGCCAAGAGCGAGCAGTTCGGGGTTGTTCAAACAAAAACGTGAGACCAAGACGATGACATTCCCAACAAACTAACGCAGCAAAACGGAGAAGTTTTCTGGCTTCTTTCAGCTTGCTCATGTATCGACGCGCAGCATTCCAGTCTCTATCACGAAGTGACTTTGAAAGATTCTGCAAAGCACTGAACGGTCCACATGGTGGCAAGATCACTGTCAATCCGGGTCGTTCGTGTCGAATGTGAGACAAAACAGAATGCTGAGCTCGTGGGTCTAGGAGGTTATCTCCAAGTGAAATGTCAAAAACTTGCCCTTGATTCAAACCATGTCTTTTTGTCCGAGGTCCAAAACGGTTTGGGTTGAAGACTTCGGTCACCAGTCGCAAATTGGATGGTTCAATGTGAAAAAGCTGTGAGAAGGTCTTTAGCTGCTTCTTGCTTGGCTGTCCAATGTCACGAGCTACCTGATGTAAAAGAGATTCTGTTTCCACATGTTTCGTAGGGTCATCAACCAGGTATTCCAGCATATATTGCCAAACAGTGGTTGCAGCACTCAAGCTAGCATCAATCCGATGACCATGAGTCGGATTTATAGTAGTCTCAACGGTTGGAAGACTAGCAGATTCCCTTCTCTCACTTGGCTCATCATTCACTTGGAGCCCTGGCTGCCGCGACGGAGCCTTTGGAAAGCCTGGAACTGCTCCCACAGTTCCTGCTCGCTCTCCGAAGGAATTGGCTCCCTGGACGATGTCGCCTTGGGACCCGTCTTGGAGACCTTCTCCAGGAGTTTGCCGCAGTCCAAGCACTTGGTCTGGGTGATCCAGCCGTTTGAGCCGGATTGAGTGGTCCGGTGATGTGGGCATTGGTGGTACCCGATCATCTCGGCCTCGTCGCTGGGGCAATCCGGATTTTTCCACTGTGGTTGGTTCTGAGTCCATTGGAAGAAGGTGCACCTCGTCATGGGGTTCTGCCACTTGGGGCATCGCCAGAAATGGCGTAGATAGTTGCGACCGCCCTTGTAGGTGGTCAGTCGTACTGCCGCCAGTCGACATTGACAGTATGGAGGATTCTCGAAGATCTCCGTCTGAGCTGAGCACGGCTTTGGAGGTGAGGCTGAGCTGGCTCCGCAGGGTCTGCCCGGAGATGATGGAGAAGCCGTCGAGCTCGTCCATCTGCCGACTTTGAATTTGTTCCTGACATAGCTGCATCAGATCCTCGAGTTCGGATGTCTCGAGGAGTGGAAGGTCGCGAGCCATCTGCTGCAGACGATAGCCCTTGAAGCCGGTCATATTGAGCCGGCCTGAGACCAGGTGCTGCATGGCTTGGTTGACCAACATCAGCACACGGAGCATCAGGCGCCGCCAGCGCTGCATCGTCACCGTGGAGGGTTCCTCGCAGTCCATTGCACGGGAGCGCTTGTGAGATGCCTGCATCGGCTTGGGGCTTTTCCACAGTCGAATCGCGAGAGCTTGTTCGAGCCCAGGTGCTGAAGGTCTCATGCTCGGTACACTGTTCTCGAAGTCGTTGTGCACCGAGCTTCAAATTGTGTTTCATCCTTTCAGAAAAATCATGCAAATGAACACGAAGAGCTCCAGTTGGACCCAAGTGTAAGGGAATTGTTTTGTCATATTTCCTCAAATACAATTGAAGTCCAGAAGTAGGATCTAGTTCTAATACTGCACGACACTCCAGCAAGAACGGCAAAGACAAGAGAAAGGGTGCGTGACTGCCGTGAGGATCTTCAAAAACAGCAGGACGAAGAATACATCCCTCTGGGCCCAGACTATTTGGAATACATGCCACTTTTGTGGTTGATGACACCCCATGCACACTACAAAAACGATGTGTCTCCGGAACCAGCATGATGTCTAGATCCTTAGGCAAGGCTTCAGAAAGACGACGAAGTGTTTCCAGTCCGATGGCTGAACGTTGGCACCCTGTGTCAACAGTTGCACATGATCGTTCATCAACATCAAATCTTTGTAAATGTTTCATGGTCTCCGTCAAAAACACCTGGTGTCGCTCCTTGTACGCGGACTGGGACGCCGCGGAGTTGTCAAAAACCTGAGGTCCGGTCGGAACTTGTCGCTCAGACCGCCACTGCTGAACAGCTACATCTAATGGATTCCAGTCCTCGGAGGACTGCAAGTGGTGCACTTCAGCTACCGCTTCATGACCGTGATTGGCCTTGTAATCCTGGAACTCAAGGAAGTGCACGAACATGGCTTCATCGGTCTCGAGGAGCTGTACCTCTTTGCTGGAGCTGCCCGACTTCTTCAGAGGGCACTCACGGTGCCAGTGACCGATGGCCTTGCAATGGCCGCATCTGGTACGGCTCTTGAGTTCTTCAATGCTGACTTTGTATGTTCCCGGTGCAATACCGGTTCTTCCACTCCCGTATTCTCGGGACAATTCCTTTGTCTTTTTCATGCGGGTCACGTTGGCGAAGGTCCGCTTGCCAAAGCCCTTGCCATAGCCCTTGTTACCACCCTTCAAAGCGTCACGAACCATTGTAGCCAGGATTTCTTTGGCCTCGGATTCCTCGAAGATCTCATGCTCTGGCTCAAGGCCAATGTCTTCCGCTGCCGCCATCAAGACCTCATAGTCAGAGTCCTGGTAATCGATGGAGCCAGCCTCCTCGGTCTCGGGCTCATCAGGAGTCTCTGCATAGTAAATCGACTTTTTGTCGTTATTCTTTGCAACGTCCTTCTGTCCCATCTTGAAGTCTAGTTCCGTTTCATGAACTCGCATCCATTCCTTGACATCGGCGACCAACAGGCTGCCCTTGCAATAGTTCATCAACAACTTCACTTCTTCGGTGGTGAGCTGCAATGCCATGATGTAAAGGAAACCCAGGTATTCAGGGGGCAAAACAACACCATGTTCCTTCACCTTCCGAACAGCGTTTTCCCATTTTGCACTAAATTCCCGATGGGATTCTCCACGAACACGTTTGAGTTGATAGGTCAACTTCCCCAAACAGTGAAGCATGTCCTCACGAGAGTCATCCCCATAGAATTCACGAGTTCCCATCATGTCAATGAGTTTGATCCCGTTGCCAGGATCCGCCAGCCAAGAATCATCGTTGGCCAGGTGCTTAAAGTTCTCGAAGGCATTGCCGGTCAGGCCCTTCAGTAGCAAAGGTCCTCGAGTCCTGGGTTTAGCCTTAGTCGTAGCTAACCAAAGCTTTGCACGGATCTTGAAGTCCTTGAAACCACCTTGGCCATCGAAAGTCGGGGGTGGTCCTGCATTTGACCGCTCATGAGAATCATCGTCCTCACCTGACTCGTGTCCACGTTCACGACGACGCGGCTCGAAGTCTCGTCGAGGTGGGGGCGACGAAAAAGGGTTTCCTCCATTCTCTCTGGCTCTGGCCTCAACAAAATTCAAAAACTGCCTGAATTCGGATGAGTCATTCCCCGCAGGACGCCGCCAAGCATCCTCATGTGAAGACTCACCATCTCCCTCTCTGGAGCTAGGGCCGGGTCGCCGGCCATCCGGAGAAGGTAGAGGGGAACCCTGCTCAGTCCGTGGTGGTGTGGAATGAACAGGAGGTGATCCATCAACATCAGCTGCAGTAGACATACTACCCCGAAGGAAGCCAGCACTAGCAAGGTCAGTCAACCAACGACTACAAACCCAAAGGCCAGTTGAACCGGCTCCGCTACCACCCTGTGAGACACAGGGTGGTAGGGGCCTAAGCAAGTGCTACCATGGCAGCGAACGATCGGTTTTCGTCACCTCAGGCTTGAGCCACCATCCGGTGGAAGGTCGTTAACGAAGTGTGCCCCTTTTGGGCTTCCGTGGATGACGACCAAGCTCAACGAAATCACAATATATATATATATATACATACACAGTAATTAGGCGGAGTTCAGTTTTTATCTGTGTTCGACGTTCTCCGCCTAAGTACTGAACTTGCTGGTTCTTGTTATGTCTTGCAAATACGCTCTTCCAGATGTGAGAGCAAACTTCAAAGGACTGCGTAATGGTTTTGGGTTCTCGTCGCTAGGATGTCAATGCCCCGCAAGCTGATCCTTGAAATGTGTTTTGCAAAATGGCAGCTCAAGGCCATCGTTTCAGCCTGTTTCAGCTCTCCAGGTGTTGCTGAGACATCATCACCCCTTGCTGCGCGCTCGTTTGGTCGAGGAACCTATGATTTTGTGCGCGTTGGCTGAAGGTGGGGAAGCAAGCATTGCCTGGTCTTCGTGTTACCTGCGGCGCGGACATGATCATGTGTGGTATGGGTGACACGAGGTAATAGTATAGTGTGACATTTTCGCAACCTTGCAACGAATGGTTTTGCAATGCTTACGTACCCTCAGAGCTGTTTTGGATGCCACCCCAACAAGCGAGTTTTATATAGATTTGCTTGATTCACATTGGACCGCATCGTTTGTTCCCAACGCGAGCAGACACATCCTTCATGTGGCCTCTAACAGTCGCTTCATAGGCCAAGGCCATGGTCTCTTTGAACCAAGAGAGCAGAAGATCGAGCAGGTGCGACACTCGTCTCGAGCAGGTGGGAACTCGTCTCACCAAAGGCCGCGGTGGTGGCGTGGCGAAGTCTTAAGGCCAGGATGGACAAGAGCTGACATGGAATGCCTGGTCCGGCCTCAACCTACGCAGCACTTTCTTCTCTCAACCCCCAACTTAGTTGCCTCGATCTATGGCAGAACTGTTCATGATAGGTACACAATGGTACACAGGTACATGATACTTGAATATCGCGTTCCGCGTATGACCCTTTGTGACACTAGCGGCTAGCATATAAAGTGGTAGACTCTAGAGGGACCCTGCATCAAACCAGCCAGTTCCTGCTCTCGTGGCGCGACGCGCGTGCCAACAATGCTCTTAACACACCGATCCCCTGCGAAGGCCCTGGGCGCGCCAGCTCCGACGCTTGGTGGCGGTCCTGCGGGGTGGCTGGAGCCAGGCACGGGCGCCCTACGAGGAACAACTGCGGCAGTGGCAGGCGGGCGGTTCCGGCAGTAGTGGAGCGGTGGCGGCCCACAGGCCAATTCCCAAGCAAAAGAGCGGAACAAGGCTTGGCCTCTCCTAGCCATCCCAGCCCCAGTTCCTTCGTTTATTTTGGGTGGAAAATAGGTCGTGATGAATTATAAACATGTTTCAGGTCTGGCAGGCTTGGGTGAACATGTATTCATTACTGCCATAGGTTTGAACCAATGAATGTTTTGGCTCAAGTGACTTGGCCAAAATAGCGTTTGTTCTCTCTTTTTGAGGGCGGAACCCTTGGAGAGACAGTTCTTTTTTGTGCAGGGAGGGACCCTGTTTTCCCATGAGCGAGTTGGGAACCAGCCTTGCTGCCTACACCAGGTACCAGGTGATCCATGCCGCCGCGTGGATGGAGTTCAGCGCTCACCTTCAGGAGCTGGTTGCTGAGGGGCGCGAGCAGGAAGCTTTGCGCCTCTGGGCCTCCGTGGTGGAGTTGGTGCATCTGGGGTCTCCAGGGCAACCCCTCTCCATCGCTGGGTTCCCCCCGGTTCGTCGGTTCGTATGTACCACCATTCCGTGTGCAAGGTGCACCGACCGTCGGGGCGGCTTCCAGTTCCCATGGGTGGGCGTATGGAACCGCCGCTGCTTGCTGGTTCAAGAGGGACTTGGGCCAGCGGTCGCGTGGCAGCGTTACCATGCCTCTGCGGCGCGCTTGGACCGCCTGGCGCTGCAGTGGATTGCCTTTGACCTGGGCCCGTTGGACATCTTGCCGGTCCACGTTGGTTTGGCCGTGGAGCGGCTGGACGACGGGGACGATGGCCTCGACACCGAGGAGTTCTTCGAGCTGGTTCGGCTTTGGCAGCAGGGGAGGCGGCCATGGCGGGAACCATGGTCGTCCCTGGTTGGGACCCCAGGTATTCCCCGTGAAGTCGCGAATGCAGGCCGATCCATCCGTGCGATCCTGGGGGCCGTGGCCTATGACGTTGAGTACATCCCCCCCCCTCTGCCTCCTTTGTCGCCTGCCCACGTTCGAGTCCTGTCGAGTCTGTCGATCGATCGTTTGTGAGAGCTGCAACTTCTGGTCACGGCAGTGCCCGTTGTGCATCGACAGTTCTGGCTCAGACTAGTGCGATAGTCCTTGCAGGGCTCATGGCTGACAGGGGGCGCTACGCGGTCGAGTCAGCGGGGAGCTCCAGGTGGGACCCGGAGACCTCGTCTGAAGTGGCCCAAGCCGCCCGTGTTCGCGAGTTCAGGGAGCAATACCACCTCTTGGACGATGCGGACTTCGCCTTTGCCTTTCGGTCAGCGGAAGAGGCCTTGTTGGCCGGGGGCCGGGGATTGGCCGATGCTTGGACCAAGGCCCGCTCCGAGCAGACTGAGGAGCTGATGCCGTTGGCGGCCTCTACAGTGGAAGCTGGCTCGAGTCGTGACAGGCCGGCACATGCTCTTCACCTACCCGCTCCTCCAGTACCTGTTCGGAAGGGAGTGACCCTTTCGCAACAAGCCTTCAGTGCCGACAGTGTGAACAGGCGAGTGGAAGCGCTGGCCAAGGTGTTCGAGGACGCTGGGATTCATCGCCCTTCCGTGGGGAACCTCTCAGATGCGATCCTAGCTGAGTGGAAACTGCAACTCACTCGATTGGCGCAGGTCAAAGTGACCAAATCGGAACCTCAGACAGTGGTGAATGCTGTGCGCACGTGGTCGGAATTGGTCAGCTTTATGCGCTCTCGAGATAGGACTACGATAGAGCATTTGGATTTGGCGTCATTCCTGGCCTCCGGCTCCAAAGGACCAAAGCGGGCATTGAACTCGCTTCGCTGGTTGAATAAACTGGGGCATTTGGGGTGGCAGTTGGATGCGATCGTGCTGGATCCACCGGCCTCACGGCGGGCAGCTGCGCGATCCCAGGCTCTCGTTGTCGAGCCGCCCATGCTCACCCACCTGGAGCGTGGCATCAAGGAAGCCTTCACCCGACAGGATCCTCGCTGGACTGCGATGCTGGGAAGTTGGATCGTTGGCGTAGGGGTACTACGCTACCGGCATGTCCAACGCGCTCAGATGGTGCGATTGTCCCGCTCCACGATGTACTGCCATTGCCCCAAAGGGAAGCAGGCGAGCAAACGTGATGGCTTTGACTTCTCCATCCCTTCGCAGTTCACAGATGGCTGGCCCTGGGCAGAGCATGTGGTGGCCCTTCGGAACCAGTTGCCTGAGGCCCAACGAGATGAAGGCGGCCTCTGCTTCAATCGGGAAGGCCGCGCGTGGGACATCTCTGAGGTGCAAGCCGCCGGTCGTGAGCTGTTCCAGGACCTTGTGACCGACGTGGCCGACCTCTCCACCTACTCGTGGCGCCGGCTCATGCCCACGGTGGCGTTGCTGGCCAAGTACACCCCGGTTGAGATGGTGGCCTTAGGGGATTGGCAGTCCAAGAGTGAGCTACCTCAGGAGGCCGCCATGCCGACACACTACGCAGGCAGCCGTGATCTCGTTAGCATGAGGCTCAAACATCTGTCGCTGGGGCTTGTCGCCAGGTTGGGCGAATTTGGCGCCTGGGAACTGGCAACTCCAGCCGCCATCACTGCCGCAGTGGACGCGGCCAAGCCCGAGGTGCAGCGGGCGGTGAGCCTCGACAAGCACAGCTTGTGGGACAAGCCGATGTCGGTGGCAGCAGCGCAGCGCGCGTTCGCTTTCTCGCGAGAGCGTGCAGCGCTCACAAGAGCGGCACAGGCCAGTTCCAAGCGCTCCGAAGCTGTGATGCCCCCTTCCATCAACGGCAAGGTGGTCACCCGTTTCCTGAGGAACGGCAAGGCGCTATGCCCCAACTTTCAGTTGGACGCATGCCACGTGGGCGAGGGGACCTGTGGTGAAGCCCACCTTTGTGCCATCGTGCTGAAGACTGGCCGTGCCTGCGGAGGGAAGTATCCAGCTCAGGCTTGCTTGGCAAAGCGCTATGTGGTGGCCGAGGATGTCGAGCACACCCCTCTGGCGAACGTCGCAGTGCCCAGCACCGCAGAGCCAGTCGCTCTCCCCGTGGCCGACGCCCCTGAGGAACCACATCGATCATCATCGCCAGAGAGCACCTCCAGTGAAGATGAGTCCTCAGCAGGCCCTCGCTCCCCGAGCGCGTCCCCGAGTCCAGTCCCGGCTCCCAAGACCAAGAAGCTGCGCACAGTACCACCCCCGGACACTGAGGCAGCACCCTCTCCAGCGCAGCCCGTGGCGCCCAAGGCAATGCCGCCCTCGGTGGCAGCGACAGCTGCGGCGCCCAAAGCCTCGGAGGTCATTCCACCATGGCGCGCAGCAGCAGCCGAAGCAACGGAGGCTCCCAGTGACGTCTTCGAGATGCCCGAGCCCCCGGCCGCGTTCACACCCAACGTGCACGACCAGCGGTGGGACCGCTTGGCCACCGTGCGGGGGAAGAGCGCGCAGGCGCCGACCAAAGTGCTGTCCGTCCAAAGTGGCGGCACGTTGTGGTTGGGTGGATTGCCTACGAACAGGTCAGCATCAGCCTTTCCATCCGTCACTCTTCAAGTGGCATGCATGCTTGAGGAGCCTTCGCAGCGGGGTGGCATTTGCTTGCAGGGAGCGACCCTGCGCAAATTCGCTATCGCCCACCCTGATAGGCGAGACGAGCAATGGCGCGACCTGTTGCCGCTCCTGTGCAATACGTTGTGGGGAGGTGAGGATGTGCTCCTCCACTGCATTAGTGGCCGGCATCGCGCGGCGGGAACCGCGTGTATGATTCGAGCCATTTTGCTCCGGGAGCGCTTTGAAGCAGCTTGGGACTACTTGGCAAGTGTGAGGGATGTCGACATCCAGGGCTTGCTGAGAGACAGGGCCTTGGCTGGTTGGATCCATGAGACCCTTCGCACATCTAGTCTGGGCAATGCCTGGCCCCGGCCAACCGGATACATCGCGACCGCCCGCAGTCAGCTGCACATCCAGGGCTATGAGGACACCCCCCTCTGCTCACATCGCCAGAGCGGCCAGAAGAGCAAAGGGCGATTGGCAAACCCGTCGAAGTGTACCGAGGCGATTGCCTGGGGCAGGCCAACATGCCAAGTTTGTGCCAATAGAGCACCAGCCTCCTGGATCCCTTGAGGAGGCTGTGGCACCTGTTTTCATCTTGTCGCACAGCGACACATAAGAGCAGCTAGCCCCCTTTTGGCGATGGAGTGATCCGTTGCCCGTGGCGAGCTTGACCAAGACAGCGTGAAAACAGAGTGCAGTCTCCTGACAGGGGCATTCGGTGAGGGGGAGGTTTCGCCTAGGCGGGTAGGATCTAGGTGCAGGGAGAATTGACCGAGCCGCAGAAGCATGTCCATGAGGACGTCGTTCGGTCTGTCCCTCTTTCTTCCTTCCCCCCCCCTGTCTCCGGACTCGTCACGGCCGTAGTCATTGTGCAGGAGGAGAGGGACTCCTCCGAGCGGGCAGCTTTGGCTTAGGCGCGTGGGAAGGGATCCCCGAGACAGCATGGCTAGTTCTTTGAGCTTAGTGCCGAGGGAGTCTTCGAGGATTGAAGATTCTCTGAAGGCACTAGGCACGAACTTCAGCCTTGACCCTGTTGTTGTGGAAGCCTTGATCAAGACCGGTATCTCTAATTTTGAGGAATTTCGATTTTTCTTTGACAGTGAGGGCGCGGTTGAGCCATGGCTCTCAAAGCTGTCGCTTGGGGATGGCAAGATGCTCCAGGTGTCCCGCTTGCGGCGGGCATGGCACGCCATCACCCTCTATTTCAGGCAAATGGAGCAAGACCGCTCCAAGGTGGCCTCTGATGACCTCGATTCCATGCTTGGAGAGACCGAGCTCAGGGACACCAAGGTCAGCTTCTGGCGGAGGTACCGCCAACGATTTCCCCCGGAAGTGCATCCGTCTGACTCCACCCTCTCGAGGGTGAGCCGAGAGATGAGCAAGCGGATGCTGTGCGTGTTCTCCATATGGAAGGTCAAGTCCTTGCAGTTTCAATTGATGACTACGCAGAAGAAGCGCAAACTCGGCGACAACTTGTTCACTGAGGAA